ATTCAAGTAATGACCCACAGTTGAAGAGATGTATGGTTAAATTTAATAAATATACCAATTTTCGAGGCTGTCGGAGGTCTCGTATAAAAACATTTGCTAAGTAACTATATAAAAACCTATTGAAATATTAAATAAATATTTCCATATCCTTTTACTTTTATATATTTACAAGCTTTGGACCCTAATACTGGAGAATATTCGACAGGTGAGTTTCATGTGTAACATATACGAAAGTTTAACCTTCAAAAGCTTCGGTAGTACGACTGAAAGCTGGCTTAATTAAAGAAAATATGTGTAAAATAACACAGAGAAAGTTCACTGAGATATTTATTTAATAAATATCCAGCGTTATGACGCTGAAAGATTATTCAACATCAAAAGTTCTCATTCTGTGTGTGAGAAAGTAAGACAGCTAGCCATACTACAAATTCCAATGCTGACGTCATAATTTACTCGATTTTTACCCACAAAGCTAAGCGGAAAGGATGGTTGTTGTTAATGGCGACCAGCAGGAGTAGCATAAAAGATGGACGATAGTCCAGGTAATCAAAATATCTCGGGTCAAATTAGTCCTGTAGGAACAGGAGTGGGAATTACTGGAAAACCAAACCAGGAAGAACACAACCAAAGACCTCACTATTCAATACCTGGAATTTTGCATTTTATTCAACATGAATGGGCGAGGTTTGAAATGGAACGGGCCCAGTGGGAGGTTGAAAGAGCAGAGCTCCAAGTAGGTTCTTTTTAATCCACCTCGGCACCAATCCTATTTTTTTGACATTACAGTATTCCTACTTAGTATGAGTATCGATTTAGTGATATATATATATATTTTAAATCGGAGGGTTTATACTAGAACTAATAATACACTGTCTACATTAAGTCGGTATTTGACACCTATTTTATAATCTACTACAACTAGTACTAGTAGTATATATACTATTAATAGTACTAGTAGTATATATACTATTAATAGTACTAGTAGTATATATACTATTAATAGTACTAGTAGTATATATATACTATTAATAGTACTAGTAGTAGTACTACTACTAGTAATATTTGGTTAAACTATAAGTATAACTTGTAAGGCAGTGCTTATATTTTAGAAGAAAACATAATTCCAATTTGAAAAAGTGCTTCATGTTACAGTCCCAGATTTAGTAAGCAACAAATCACTTGTATATTTTCATCTGTTTAAATTAAACAGATTAAATAATGTACATATAATTATAAATGAAACTTTAATTTATATGTGCATTGTTTTCACTTGTTGACATTAGCACACACATCTTTTTTTATAATTTACTGTATAATATTCCCAGATTATCATCATCCATATGGAATATAAGAGTATTGAATTTATTGTTCTTTTTTTGTTTTTTATCTGTGTGCATCAGTAACATTAAAGGGGTGCAGTGTTAGTGCACTGTACCAATTTACTTAGGTTTATTAAAAATAATTATACAGTGCAATAAAGTATAATAACGTAACCACAGCGGTAGGGAAACGAGGTTTACTGACCCAAATGAAATTTGTAGTTGCAGTTTTTTTAAAGATATTTTTGTAAATAGGTATTGTCATGTTACAGGTTTCATGTTGAAATGTTCTGAAAATTATTATATTTTGAATAACCATCCTATGCTACATTAAATCAGGTACTGTTTAATATTATGCACACTGTTTGCCCATGACTTCTGATTATTTGATTTTTGATTAGTGACCACTATTTTTGCATTCTACTACCCACCAAGTAATAGGTCTAAAATAATGTGCAAACTGTTTGTCCCCACCAGGTGCTCTGTCTATAGACCCCTGCTGGGGGCTTCATCCCCAAACCCTATAAACAATGCTGTTGACTTAAAGGTCTAGCTATGCCCTTAATGCCAAACACACATCTGCTGTTCCCACTGCCAGTGATGACTTTTTCCCCAATACCAGGGTTCATCAGGCTGGCTGGGATATGACAGACATAGTAGTTATTTAGGTTTTTCACTGTATGCAGGGAAATCTGCCTCTTTGTATTCTTCATCTTCCTCACATGACCCAATGATTTTATTGCCACTTTCAGCTAACGTTACCTTGTGGTAGTTAAACTTGATTATTGATTTGCACAAACTTTATATAAACAATATCAAATGAATGGATTGACTTGATTACAATTGGATAATTAGGAAGAATTTTACATGTAGTTAATTATTCTCTGGATAAAACTAAATTTGTTATATTGAATCTGTTTTCCCCTTTCAACAGTTTGAATTTATTTTCAAATGTTCCTTTTAATTGACTTATTTTAAACTAATTTTCTTCCACAGCACTGTCATATATATATATATATATATAAGTATTAAATGTTCTTATATGTTTTAGTCACATCTTCCCTAAATGTAACTAATTTTCCTTCATACTTCGTACCTTTAAAGGTTAGTTTTAATTTGGTTCCTCTTCTTATTTCAATATCCTTCTGTTTATAAAAGAGTGACATACTCTAAGTGGGTCTGACCAGAACCTTAAAATAGTAGTTTTAAGTTTTTTTCATTCACATAAATGTAAGTTCATCTTATTCCAATTATATTCTTAGCCTTATTCACTCTTACTAGATACATTTTACAGAATTTAGTTTGTCATCTATGGTAACTTTAGTATCTTTCTCATTATCTGCTTTTCTAAACAATTGTTGATGTTTTTTCTTTTTAAATCTAAGTCCTTGTACAGGTGATAGTTTCTGATATCTTGTTTGATCAGTTGTGGTATATGTTTGAATTTGTTAGGGTGAAATCTCAGAAGCAATTTTTTTGACATATTTGTAGTTCATCCAGATCATTTTGAAACAGATCCATATCGTTTGTGCTGTTGATACTTTTTAATCTCTCAATCTTTTTACTTATCAGCAATAAATCAATATCTACATGATTCAGATCAGTATGAATGTATCCAATAGAATGTTCAGGCTTGTGGATATTGCTAATTGTCTTAGCTTTATTATGAAGATAGTAGGATAGTTTAAGATTTAGAAAAGATAAGCTAAGGTCCACCTTTATATTGTAACTTCTCTTCTTACTTATCAGTTTTCTGTAAGGTACAATACTGAATGCTTTTATTAAATCCATCTAACTTTCCTCGAAGTTCTCTTCCTTTGTCAGGCATATTAATACATCTGTTACGTTTAATAACTCGATTGTGTTAGGTCTTCCATATATAAAATGAAACTTCTTATTGCTAAGTAAGTTGTTTCTTTTCGTATGATTAAGATCTTTTTGACAAAAACTTGCTATCATTTAATAAAAAATACTTGTAAGACTGACTTGTAAGTAATTTTCTGGCTTCCTTTTATTACAATTATCTTATTTTTCTTTTAAATAAAGCAATAATTTTTGCATTTTTCCATGCTTTTTTGGATAGACCCTTGTTTCTTGTTGAAAATCAGTACCACAGATATCCACAGTTTGATTGTAAATTCCTTTTGCATCCTTGGGTGTAAATTATCTGATTTTATGATGTATTTACATTAAGATTGGCTAATTGTTTGAGCTCTTGTTCTTCTTTAATATGCCTCATCTTCATTTCTAGCTTTTATGGCTCTCTGCTCTAAATTAAGTATCTTGCCATGAGGCTCACTTAAAAAAAATGTTTTCAGTGCTTAACCATTTATTTTCAATGAGAAAGTGGAAAACATAGCTGGTGAGGTGCAGACCTTGGTCATTCTGATAAGATACTGGAATGGTGTGTTCATCAAAATAGCATATAGTCTGAGGGAACAAGAAAAGATGGCATAGAGGTCACGCTAGAAGACTGGAGGAAAAAAGGGTGAAAATATGAAAATGAATTGAATTAAGCATTATTACTAGAAGAACCTTGAGGAGGTTACTGAAGGGAAAAAACATAGCCTGTGCCAACCCTGGTGCTAAATTCCTCAAGCATAAAATATTAGTGGAAGTAATGGTATAAAAATTATCTTATTTACATTGGGTGCTTGGTGCGTACTAGCCAAATTACATGCTCTTCTTCTTCCAATTGCGTAGCCCCTTGCAGCCCATTTGTCAGTGCACAGTTCAGGTAGCATTGTGCCATCCCTAATTCCAAATCACTGACCACAGAGGAGCAACCGACTGGCAGCAACCACTCTTAATTTATAATTTAACTGCTGCTTATATTTTTTTAAATAATTATTTATAAAAAAAGATGTTGGTTAAGGTATATAAAGACTAGAAATGAAAGACTATAAAGAATAACTACTTACAAGAAATAAAACCAAGAATCATTCATATAAAAATAACTTGAAGGCAGAAAAAAAACATTGTTTTAAATCTTAGATCAATTTCAAAAATATCTGGAGTGAAGCAAAATCTAAAAGCAAAATTAAATGAGGTATCTCAGAGCTTTGGAAATAAAGTAGGGACAACAGACCAATAGTTACATTGTGTATATATCTTCACACTAGAGGAGCTTTCTCCAAGGTTTTTGAAGGATATTAAGGTTTGGGTATGTGAACCATTTGCTATGATTTTTTGTGAGTTTTTGAATAGTGGTAAATGCCAGAGGATTAGAATTTGGTTAATACTATTCCTCTTTTCAAGGGAGGTAAGAGAAATTGGTCTGTAGTTATAAGTCATTTCACAAAGTTTTGTTGGATAGCTAACATGGTTTCACTAGGGGACAATCTTGCCTTGCCAATCTTTTGACATTCGTTGAAGGGTTTACTGCCTATACCGAGGAGGGTAATGGTGTAGGTTTACTATATCTGGATTATCAGAAAATATTTGAAAAGGTGCCACATAAAAGGATTGTTAAAAAAATGTCCCTTTAGGTAAGGGGGATAGAAGAGTGGCTAGATGGAAGAAAGCAGAGAGTTGTTATAAATGAAATTCAATCAAATGGATTAATGTCACAAGTGGGGTACCTCAGGGCTCATTCTTAGGACCTTTGCTGTTTTTGATTTACATCAGTGACATAGATGAAGGAATGATCAATAAATTAATTAAACTTCCTGATGATGTTAAGGTCTTGAGTGTTGCTGGTTGTGAGGATCCTGCTGCTGCTTCTGCTTTACAAAAGGATTCAGTGAGTTGGGTTAATGAATGGCAGATGGGTTTTGATTATAATAAATGCAAGATAATTCATGTGGGTTATCATAATTTGAATTATAAATATAATTTGGATGGGAATAACCTTAATAGTGTTATGAAGGAAAGGGATCTTGGTGTAATAGTCGATCAGTCTCTAAAGCCATTCAAGCAGTGTACTGTTGCTAGTGGTATGGCAAATAGGATTTTAGGTTGTATCTACAGAAATATTGAATACAAGTCTAAAGAGGTTATAATTTCCTTGTATCTGTCACTGGTTAGGCCACATTTGGAGGATTGTGTTCAGTCTTGGGTGCCTTACCTTAGGAAGGACATTTAATTGTTGAAAAGGGACTGGAGGAGGGTTATTAGTATTGTACCTTGGTTGGAAAGGTTGTCATACAAGGACAGGTTATAATCTTTGAAATTTTTTATTCTTAAAAAAAAGAAGAGTTGGATCTGATTGAGGTGTTTAAGATTGTTAAGGGAATTCACAATGTTGATGTATCATCTTTTTTTCATACTTAATGGTGAGAATGGTAAGACTAGGGACCAAGTTTTGGCAGGGTAGGAGTCACCTTCAGCTAAGACAATTTTATTTTTCTAACAGGATTATTGGTCTTTCAGGTGTGGTGGATACAATTAATTTAAGGAAGTTGAAGGGCATGCT